TTGTAACTCTAAAATATAAATAATAATTACAAGAATTTTCATTTTGTAATATATTAATTGTTTCAGAGACTCTTTACACTTCATCTGCCCATTCTTCTTTTAATTATTATTTTTCTTATAATTCTTCACAAGCTTCTTTAAGTTATTATTTAAGAGCATTATTTTATTACATCAAAATGGCTAGACTTCCTTTGATTTCTTAGTATTTTTACTGATAATCACTCATTGATGTGTGTTGTTATATATAAATATTAAATTTGAAAATTAAATATGTTATAATTTAATAAAAAAATATATTCATTTTTATTATAATTCAAATTTTGTATTCATTATTTAATCTATTATCTATAACATAATATGAGTTATTCTTTAAGAATTAAGTAAATTTAAAATCTATGAAGTTTATCATTTAATCCTTATCTTTTTAAATATTAATGACAAATTAGTTTATTATTTTACATGATTAAGACTTATTAATAAATATAATTTTGTTTTATGTAAATTTTTTAATTTTGTTTAATACTATAATACCCTGTATACAAACATGTTATTTTATAATTTTTACATAACATAATCATAACAATCCAGTGGTTTTTGGTAAGAATTTGTCTACTAATTCACTATGAATACTTGCTAAAAGACCATATGGATTATCATAAGTTTTATCTTCATGATTATAATCATAAGTTTATCCTTCTAATCCTACAAAACGACCCTATATTTATATAATTTGAATACTCCAAATGCTTTTATTAAAGCCTCAGGTGCAGATATATCCCATTTACTCATTTTAACACCAATATATAAAAATAAATCACCCTTACCTTCTAAAATTGAAAGACTCTTTTTACCAGATCCTCCCATTTATAAGAGAGGACAACCAAGAGATTAAATTTGTTTTTATTTAGTTTCAGTTATTCTATTTTTTGATGTACACAATATGATATTGGAAGGATCATATGATGGCTTTAAGAGTTCAAAGGGAATTAATTATTTAGTATCATAGGTATAAAATACTCTTCTTTAAGGATGATGACCAAAATATATCTTAGGTTTAAATTCATATTGTTTATCAGCAATTTTAACAAATGGTTAGGAAATGATACCCATTAAAGCCTACTTCTTATATGAGAGACCAATCAAAGTGGTGACACAATCATAATCACCTTAAACAAAATCTAAAGTGCCATCTAAAGGATCAACCCAAACACATAGATCTTCTATTTCATATTGAGTTCTAACCTTTAAATTATTAGGTGTTTTGTTGAATATATCCTCTGTATAAAGATTGTTAAAAGTATCTGGTAAATCAATTGGTTAATCATACACAGTAGATTCTTCTCCAACAATCTTTAACTATGGCCTTGTATATTATACTAAAGATTACCAATGTTTTTGTAGTTGCTATATAATATAGGTTTAAGCTTTAATATCAGCAATTGTGACTGGATCATCAATAGCTTTCCATTTCTAACCAATATCAGTTGATAATCGAATTTAATTAATAATGATAGCTGCATTGTAGGCTAATTGAGTAGCAACTGAAAAGAATTCGTGTACTTTAAGCATAATATTATTTTAATTTCAATGAATAGTGATGAAATTATATCTGTTGTTGCTGATATTGGTAATCTCTATACTAGAGCAGGATTTACAGGAGATGATTTTCCTAGATGGAGTACTTTCACAAAATGTACAGAGACAATGCAATTTGGAGATGAATCATTAGGGTATGGAAATGGTTAAGTATTGGACATATTATAACCATTTAATCCAGATTTATATGAAAATCTATTGAAAAAGATGTTTGAGAAACTAGGAGTTCAATCTAAAGATTATAGTTTATTGTTAGCTAATAATTTCCAAACTAAACATGATTTATAAAAAGTTGTGGAAATATTATTTGAAAGTGTAGAAATTCCAAATTTCTTCACAATTAGAAATGCAGCCTTATCTACATTTTCAGCAGGTCGTTCTACAGCATTGATTTTAGATATTGGTGCATATTCAACAACTGCATCTGCTGTTCATGATGGTTATACATTATTAAAAACTCAAATTTAAGCGCCAATTGGTGGAGAAATACTAAATGAACCATTTAGATAATATGTAGTTGGAGAATATAATTAATTCAAAAAAACATGTTTAGCTAGAGATATTAAATAAGGTTTATTAACTTATGAACAAATTGATACAACTTAATAATATGAATTACCTGATGGAAAGTTTATATAAATGTAATAAGCATAACTTTCTGAAATTGCAGATAAATTATTTAATAGTAATGATAATTTCAAAGGTATTCAACATATGTTATTGGATATAATTAATAATTCTGTTAATGATATTAAATAATAATTATGTTCTACTGTAATATCAACTGGAGGATCATCTAATATTCCTGGATTTTTGAATAAATTATAAACTACTTTATCTGCTTTGGCACCACCTATGTGTAAAATTAAATTAGTAATGTATCCATCTAATGTATAAAATTTATTTTTAATTTATTAGTAAAATCGATATCATTCAGTATTTATTGGTGGATCTATTTTGGCATCACTTAGTTCTTTTTAATCTCTTTGGGTTGCAAAGAATGAATATTAGGAATCTGGTAAATTTAGTATTATAGAAAGAAAATGTCCAAATTGATTAAAATTATCATTTATATAAAATTTTATTGTCTTTTACATATGTAAGTAAATTCATAAATGTTCCTTTTTAATCTAATTAATTTCTTATTTCTCCTTTATTCATATCCATACTAAAAACATTTGATTCATTATATAATATTAAAGAATCATTGCATACTTAAAAAGATGTTATATTATGTGTAATTTAGAACACTCTTAATCGAATGTATTCCTAATTTTTTACATCAATTAATAGATATTCAATTTGATGTTCAACTAAAATTATCATTACATCTCCATATAATTCAAAATCCAATAATTTTTAACCTGTAACATAAAGTCTACAATTAGGTTGAGAAATAAGTATATTTTAATATTACACAAATTTATTCATCTGAATATTTTTATCTCTATTAGCAAGAATCTATTTCATATTCTCATTAAAAATAAAGTAAGTCATTTAACCATCTTATTTACCTTATACTATAGTATCATAAAAATATCTAATACGAAAATACTTAAGTGGAGTACTTAAATATTCATTAAATAAGAATATTGTAGTTTGAGTATATATATCATATAAATTGATTTATCCACTTTCAGAACTCAATAATGCTAATGAATCTGATATCAATTCAATTTGATTAATTGCCATTGCACTTATACAAATTTCATCAACTTTATTATCTCTTATTTAAAAGAGTCTTCCATTATGAATACCAATTAAACAACCAAGTAAACCATTTATAGTATAATATCCAGACATAGAAGTTTGAATAAATAAAGACATTTTGAACTAAATATTGAGTTACTTTTTTTATAACATTTCTTTAGTTTTGTAATTGATAACAAATTATGATAGTTGTACATGTCCTTTAAAATCAAGAGTTGTTGTTATTATGTATATATTGTCTTCTAATTCTAAAATATGTTGTTTATAGTTATTAAATTTATCTTCAATTTTTATAAGTTCCATTTAATATTATAATTAATTTTAAGTGAAAGTGTGAGTATGTTTGCAGTATTGTCATCACTGAAATTTTAGGAATATAAATAATTTATGTTTTTAGTTTAGTTTAGATTAAATTAAAATGTATCATATTTTAGTTAATATATTTGAATACATAGAAATTAATAAACATCTTCTTTGAATTGAAATTTAGTTATTGTAAATATTCATATTTAATATATATATATATTTTAATAATAATTAAAGATAATAATATACATGGCAAAGGATAAATAGGGCGAAATAGATGTAGATAACATTATTGAAAGATTACTAAGTGTAAGAGGTAGTAAACCTGGAAAAAATGTGAATTTGACTGAATCTGAAGTTCGTGGTCTTTGTGTTAAGGCTAGAGATATCTTCATCAGTTAACCAATTTTATTAGAATTAGAAGCCCCTCTCAAAATTTGTGGTGCTATACTTTATTTTATTTTAATTTTAGGCGATGTTCATGGATAGTATTTTGATCTTTTGAGATTATTCGAATATGGTGGTTATCCTCCAGAAAGTAATTATCTATTTTTGGGTGATTATGTGGATAGAGGGAAATAATCATTAGAAACTATATGTTTACTTTTAGCATATAAAATCAAGTATCCTGAAAATTTCTTTCTTTTGAGAGGCAATCATGAATGTGCATCTATTAATCGTATATATGGATTTTATGATGAATGTAATTAAATCATACCTATTAATTTATAGGTAAACGTAGATATACAATAAAATTATGGAAGACTTTTACTGATTGTTTTAATTGTCTACCAGTGGCTGCATTAATTGATGAAAAGATTCTTTGTATGCATGGAGGATTATCTCCTGAACTCTCTAATTTAGAGTAAATTAGAAGAATTATGAGACCAACTGATGTTCCTGACACTGGTCTCTTATGTGATCTACTTTGGTCAGATCCAGATAAAGATGTATAAGGTTGGGCAGATAATGAAAGAGGAGTATCATATGTCTTTAGTTAAGAAATTGTTTAAGTCTTTCTTAAAAAGCATGAACTTGATTTAATTTGTAGAGCACATCAAGTATTTATTATTATATTTATAATTATATTAGGTTGTTGAAGATGGTTATGAATTCTTTAGTAAACGATAATTGGTGACTCTCTTTTCAGCACCAAATTATTGTGGTGAATTTGATAATGCAGGTAATTAATATAAATAATGTATTCAGGCTCTATGATGACTATTGATGAATCATTAATGTGTTCATTCTAAATACTAAAACCAGCAGAATAGGGTGCATAAGGTGCTTCCTAATAAAACAAACCTCCAAGTGCTAAGTTTGTTAACTGATTTAAATAAGAACATTTATATTCAACCAACTAATAGATTATTTAATTTATTTTCCATATGTTTCAAGACGTAATCTCAGAATTTAGGAATTTCTATAACAATAAAAATCTGACCTTTGAAGATTTCATAAACATCATTGATGAATATGGCAAATTAGATATAAGATGTTAATTAGAAGAACAAATTAAAAAATAATTATATGATTTCATCTCAGAGAAATAAGAAGGGATTGTTACTTATTCTACAGGTATTTATTTATATAGTAATATAGTTGAGACTGTAATATTTGAATTTCTATTATAATAAGAAGTTCCTCCATATAAATAATATATACTTCCTAAGACTCTTGGAAGACAAGCTCAACGTTTACCTAAAGATATGTTGGAAGTTTTGACTAATGAGTTTATAATTCAATTTAAGAATCTTTATAAATTGATAGAGAATAGATATGGAATTGATATTGAATATGAGGAATTAGAAAACCTTGGTAAAGAATTATAGAGAACAATAAAGATAAATGCAGTTGAAATGTTGAGATATATATAACCTTTAGTAGATGAACATAAAAAAGTGAGTATTAAAGAGTTACTTGAATTATGTAATGATTTAGAAAGAATTATTATTAATTAGCATAACAATTAATCAACAATAGAAGTATAAGAATCATAAAATAATGAATAAATTATAAATAAATATTAGCATATATCAAGTGATGATGAATAATAATCAAATAATCATAGATAGAGTGAAATAATTGATAAAAAAGATTATGCTAATATAATTTATCAATAAACTGATATATTAATACAAAAAAAATATGTTAATCAATAAGGCAAATAACATTTAAATGATATTAATTAAGCTGTTAAAAAAATGGAAGTTTAAATACTTAATTTATAAGAGGAAACTAAATAAAAAGATAAAAAAATAGAAACCTTTATAATTGAAAATACTAAAAAGATTGAAGAAGCTTTAATTGAGAAAGAATTGGCCAAAACTTAATTAAGATAATTTGAATAAGATATTATCAATAAGGATTAATAAATTGAAATACTTTTATAAGATATTGATATGTTTTAGGAATAAAGAAATGTAAATTATTTGTAAATAATAGAGATATTAAGAATAATGTACAGATTTATAATAATAAATAAATGATTATCATGATTAATTAAAAAGTATTACAAAGATAGAAACAGAATTGAAATAAACTTAGATAGAAAATAAGAAATTAAATGAAAATTTAATTAAGAGTAAAACTGAAATTAATAGATTAACTTAAAATAATAAATCATTAATGTAAATAATTGAGGAATATGAAAATAAATAAAATTTAGAATAAGAATAAGTTTAAGTAAATGTTTAAGATTAAAATAAAGATATAATAAGAGATTATGAAGAAAAATTGATTGAGTATTTATTATAATTATTATCATTTAAGTTTGTAGTAGTAATATAATTTATTGGAATAAACAAATACTGAACTTGAAAAATAATAAAATAATTATGAATCACAAATAATAGAATTGAAGAGAGAACTTAATCATTATAAAAAATTATATGAAAATTTAAATTGTGAGAATCAATAATTAAGAAGTAGTATTATGCCAAGATCTAGCAATATTGGTAAATAATTTAATTTAGGTGCATTGGGTAGAATGAGTAAATTATCTATTGCAGAAGGTGGTTTTCCATCTAATAAAATGGGTATGATAGGTAGGATATCAAGTTTAAGAATGTCATCAATAAGAGGAAATCCATAGATAAGATATAGTAATTTTAATCCTTTAGATGATTTATAAAGTGGTGGTCTAAAAATTAATGAGTAAGATGAATGTGATTAATATGAACCTGATTAATAATAATAATAACCAGATTAATAAAAAATCGTATTAAGAATAAATCCAAAATATGAATAAAGTGTTTTTGAATCAATTCATGAGGGTGAAGAAGAAAATGATTAAACAATTAATAAAATAGAACCAAATAATTAAGATTAATAAAATTAATTATTATAAAATTTTGATAAATTTTGGGTAGGATTAAAAAATAAGAATTAATAAGAATCTATATTTGATCCATAATAAATTTAAATAGATGAAAATTTATTATTTGAGAGAGATTTTCTTGGAATAAGAGATGATTAAAAAGTAAAGGAATATTTAAGAATAGAAAATAATGTTCATAAATAAATTATTTAGAGATGTTTTTCTGATAGTATTTATAGAATTGATTCAAAGGGTAAAAGAGCTAGAAGAATTATATATTTATCTGAATATACTTTTTTTATATTCTTTGGTGAAAAAAAACCAAGAAAATTAAGTAGAAATTTTGCAATAAAAGATATAAAATCAATAATATTTTCAGAAGTAATTTATATTAATTAATTATTAAAGACTTCTCCTGTAGTTTGTTGTATAAAAGTAGCAGGTTGTGATGATATATTAATAGAAACATTTAAAAGAACAGAATTAAATATTTATTTAACAGAGATATTTAATTAATAAAGACTTTTATTATATAATTTAGAATTTTAATCAGAATTTAAAATAAAGTTTATAGGATTAAATAATGAAATACCATTTTCTTAAGTTTCTAAAAGATAAGGATATTTAGATTAAGGAAAAGTATCTGCTTTTAAAGTATCATCTAAATAAGGTATTTTATAAATAATAATTTAGGTTGGTTGTATTTATTAAAAATGAATTTTATGAATTCAGAAAGATGGAAAGAAGTATTTGTAATTTTAACAAATGTTGGTTTAATATTATTCAAGAAACCAGGAGATTTTGAACCTATTTTATTTGTATCTTTAGTAGATGCTATTGTTATAAAAGATCCAATAATTTAAACTCATTAATAAAATCTTTTAAAAGTATATATAATAATAATATTAAAAATTATAGGTTCGTTATGAGAATTCAGAATATGAATACCTTTTTAGTACAACATCAGCTATATTGAAAGATGAATGGCATGATATAATCTAATAAACAATTATGGAATAAGTAAGAAATTAATAAAAATATTCATTTGATCAAATGGAGAAAAGTAAGACATTGAATAAATGATAAATAATAAATGATTGATGAAAAATTAAATTTAGTAAATAAATTATTTTATTTTCATTTTGAATATTAAATTTAATGTGCTATGATATCTTCATTTATATAGAAATCAATTTTACCTTCAATAATCTCATTTTTATTAAATATTGCTTAAATTAATAAATATTAAATATACCTTAAATCATCTTCCAATTGAAATGCCAATCATTTGAAGATTCTATTTGATATTAATTAAAGTATTTCCCTTTACCATGAAAACAATTATTTTTCCATCTTCCCTCATATACTATATAAAATTTGGAATTGTCTGTATATAAAATACCTTAACCTTCTATGATTATCATATCATCAATTTTAACTATCTCTCCTTCATAGTATAAACCATTCTAAAATGTAATTTAACCAATTAATTTATTGGATTTATTAAACATATTTCCTTATTATATATTACTAGATAATTCAACATATTTTAATATTGGAAATATTAAAGTAGGAGTACTTGGTTATTCACTACAAGTATCTTAAGTTAATTCAGATCGATGATGTTTATGTTTAGTTGATATTGTCTATAAAGCTGTTATCTTATTTAGTTTATAAGTAGTACTGTTTTGGGATTGTAATTTAGAAAAAAGATCAGGATTTTAAGTTATTATTTAAACACTAGAAGTTTTTTGATGTTTTGTTTTAATTTCATCAACATTTTACACAAAACTTATGTTTTAATCTTTGCAAGGAGATTTTGTTCTTATTTGTTTAAAATTAGATGATTAAATGTTCTTTGTAAATTTTACTATTTTTATGTTATCTGTGGGACCTAAAAATATGTAATTTGGAAATTGAATTATAATTGGTTAAGTTTTTTCTGGAGATCTTAAAGGAGCATTTCTAGATGTATGTGCTTTAGTAGTCAATCTTACTAATTACATTTAATAATAATATATTTTATGAAAGTATTATAAATGTATTCATATTTATTTATTTTGATTTAATAATCACAATCAAAGAATCTTTTTTTCTAATTCTTATTGGTAGTCATTTTCTTCATTTCCTTAATCAAGTTGTTATTGATTAATATTTTGTTTTGAATGAATATTTATCACTCTTACTTTTACTTTCCTCAAAGCTCTTACAATCTAATTGTCTAGATTCTATATTTTACATTTGGAGGATATATTGATGTCACACATGCTTTCATTACAGCATCATTAAATTAATTCTAATCTCCTTTCTCATAAGAGTTTAGCATCTGATCAACTGCTCTAAATTCTGATGACTTATGGAAATTGTACACTCTAATATATTCTAAATGTTCAAATCATACTAAATAATTAATTGCTCTAATTCTTAATTCGCTCTGATTATCTCATCTTATAAAATGTACATAACAATAATAATCAAAGCATATTGACTTAAAGGATATTTCATATGTTCTTCTCTAAACTTTGTTATCTCCTTCATATACAAATCAGCCACTTTATGATATTATTGAGTCTCTATCAATATCTCTACATATGAGCAAATTATATCAGTTCTTGTAGATGGAGCCTATAATTCTTCTGCTTCAGTTAAAGCTTCCAAAATTATTTTCTCTGACAATTCAAATTGTTGTCTTTTGTTTAAATACCTGAGGTAAATCTATCACTTTTACTTTGCTACTTTATTTAACACTTAGAGAGATTTCATTCCTGAATCTGAAACTTTAAAATACACTCCTGCCTTTTATGTCCATTCCACAAGTTCTTTATAATCATCACTTGAATTATCAATCAAAGAATTCAATAGAGCTTCATAATTTCTACCCACAGCCCAAGTATCATTTAATTTCTCATTACATTCAATAGCAAATTTAAGTGCCTCTTTTTCTTTTTTAAAATTCTTGCATTCCTTATATAATTTAGCTGCTTCCTCAAATTGCATAGCACCTAAATTATAATCCTTTTTCCATTAAAATACACCAGTTGTTAAGCTAAAAACATATATAGCATAATATATACGCATCTTTTCCTTTCTTGAACATTTTATCTGCCTCCTTCTCTTAACTATTTTCTTATTTCATAAATTATAATTATAATAATCAATTTACTATTATTATCAACCAATGTTTCAATTATATTTTGCAAATATTTGTATTACTAATAATATATATATATATCATCATATATTTTTAATTTATATTAGATCTACTCATGATTGAAAATCAATTATAATTTAATTAGATTTAAAAAGAATTTATTATTTTAAATTAAAGTCTTATATCAAACAATTTATTTATGATTATTAATATATTTATAAATTACTTTCTAAACATCCCTAAATCATAAAGTATAATAAATTTCAACTAACATATTATTATATAGAAATTAATAAGACAAATAGCAAAATTATTTTATATATATAGTTTATTGATAATAAATAATGCATTATAAGATAGATTGTATAAATATATAATTAAATGAAAATTTGATAAATATAATGTAATAAATATTAATATTATAAAAAATAAAGATTTATATATTAATTAACAATTTTGAGTAATAATAATTACTCATATAAAAATAATGAGATCAAGAAAGGTTTATGATGGAGATGTTGGATTTGAGATGCGTGGTTAGTCTAGTTAAAAATTTAGAAGAAAAGGTTAAGTGAAAAATGAGAATGAGATTGAGATAGAGGTTCCTAATGGTGATTTAACTAAAGGAAGGATATTCTTTAGTCATAATTGTGCTGGTTGTCATGATCTGTATAATATAATAAATTAATAAAGAGATTAAGATTTAAATTTAGGTCCATCTTTAAGAACAGTATATTTAAGAAGAAATGGTTCTAAAAGGTTTTCAAATTATGGAAAAGATTTGACTGCTTATAAGTTTTATTGGACTAGAAAAAAGCTATGGGAATTCTTAGAGAATCCTGAAAAAATGTTTCCTGATACTAACATGTAGTTAGATGGAGTATGAATTGAATTTAATTATAGGTTAAAGATCCATTTTTATTGGCTAGTGTTATAGATTATTTATAATATTTAAGAGTGTTTACATGTGATATTAGAGGGTAAAAATAAATAATTTGAATATAATATGAATAATAATAATAATCATATAATAAAAATACAAGCATTAGTAAGAGGGTTTATAGTGAGATAGAAATTAGTTAATAATGTGAGAGATGAATATGCATCTATCACTAAAAGTATTGAAGGAATTGAACCAAGATATGCAACCAAGAATCATTTGAATAGACCATATTTTTCAAGAGCTAAACTAATATAAGAAGAAATTAATCGTATACAGTTGAGACTTAAAGAAATATCCAAATTGAAATAAGAGAGATTGATGATTTTATGATACAAAACCATAATTGATATTCATTGTTTAGGAAATGGTGTTTTTTAAAATTTTCGATGTGCTTTCTTTAACAGAGGTGTTTAGAAGGAAACTTTAATTTATGGACTTTATTAAACTGACTATGACAATCGTTTTTTATTAAATCGTGTAGACACATCATTTTTTTTAAGGGATTGACATAATCTTTCGAACTCTTTTCTTTACTTTAATTATTAATCACGAATGTCTCTATGATAATTAGCTCTTTATTCAGTATGCAATTAAATATAAGATTTAAAAATGTTCTCTTCTTCATTTCCATCTTTTATTTTAGCTAATTTTGATTTAGATAGGATTTGCAATTATTTTTTTTGAATTTATTAGCTCATTTTTTATTTATTATTAAATTATAAATAAATGAGAACCTTTGTTGATTTTATGGAAAAATACAAAGTAGTTTGTGCTAATGTAATACTTGAAAATACATTTACAAATGGAACATTATATTTGGGAGATTTTTATGCAGCTTTGGATAAAAAGTGGTAATAGAAACATCAAATAGTTGCATTATTAACTGTAGCTAAAGATTTAAATATTCAACCAGCATAAGGAATTGTACATAAAGTAATAGATGCAATTGATGATCCATCTTATGATTTATCATAACATTTTGATGAATGTTATGAATTTATGTCAATATGGTTAAAAAGAGGACCAATTTTAGTTCATTGTGCTGCTGGAGTATCTCGTTCTGCTGCTATAGTAATATATTTTATAATGAGATCATTTAAATGGAGTTTTGTTAAATCATTTTAACATGTTAAAGCTAAAAGAAGTGTAATATGTCCAAATGAAGGATTTATAAGATAACTCAAATAACATGAAAAGTTATTAGGTTTAGTTGTATTTAGAGAAAGTACTTTAGAAGAAGAATAAAAAAGATAGACATAATCAAAACCATCAAAAGGAGTTATTAGAGGAAGATCTGTTGTTATCAGAACTCAAAAATAGCCAATGACTCGTTTTAGATGATTATTTGTTATTTTACTAATATCATTTTAATTAAATAAGATATCTACAAATAATTTTGATTTTAATTGAATAAAAAAAGATTTTATTATTATTTATAATTAGATAAGTAAATGATTTATTGATTATTATCAATATAATTATAATTAATATAATTATTAAAGATCAAATAGGTAAGGATGTATAAAAAAAGAATTAATATAATTTTTAATTTTCTTAAGAAGATTTTCAAGATATTTGAGATATTAGTTCAAATATATAGTTTTAATAGGAAAATAAAAATAAGTTAGTTAAGGAATTAAATCTATTCTAATTATATTAATTAGGAGTATTATTTTAATAATATAATTTAAATTAAATATGATTAACGAGAATAGGAGGTAAGAAATTATGTCAAGATTGAAATAAGAGAGAGAGCAAAGGAAGAAATTGATAGAAGATGGTAATGTTGAAACTATTTACATTGATAAATCTTTAATAGAAACACCAATTATTGGTAAAGAAGAATATTCAGAAACCTAATCATAAATTACAGATGAAAGCAAAATTAGTTAATATAGTAGACAAACACCTGATATTCTAAAAGTTTAATAAGAAAAGTTATAGGTTATGAAATAGAACTTATTCAAAAATAAAGAGAACAATAAACAGACATATATTGATAAATTAGCAGAACCTAAAACTATTGTATAAGAAGAGAGGGAGCATTAAAAATTAGAATAAGAGAAAAAAATGGTATATAATTAAATTATTTAAGTTGGCTGAATTATCTTTCAGACCAGAATTAAGTGATTAGACTAATTTACTTGCATAAATTAAATATTCTAAATTTGAAGGAATGCCAATTTATGAGAGACTATAATTTTTAGAATAAGAAAGACAAGCACATATTGATGAATTAAAATTGATGATTAATTAATAAGAAGAAGAATAACCTATAAATAAGGTTCCTAGACCATATGGTGATAAACCTCCTTTGTATGAAAGATATTAATAAGTTATGTAAGATAAAAAGGCATTAATTGAATATTTAAAAGCAAAATAACTTAGAGAGGAAGAAGATTTATTTAAACCTCGAATTAATTTATAATCTTAAATTTTAGCTGAAAAAAATAATATAGATGGTTTGAATGTAGTTGATAGATTAATATAGGATGGCATAAGAAAATAAAATATTATTTATGAAGATGATCTCCCTTATGATTTTCAACCTTAAACTAATCAATAAATTAATGATCAAATAGTTAAAGGGGATTTTAATTAGAGATAAGAAGAATTCAACAGAAAATAACTAGAAAAGAATATGGATTTAGAAAGCAAGGCTTATAAAGATTATACATTCAGACCAAAGTTAAATAAATAAAGTGAATAAATAGCAAATCGAAAGATCTCTTAAGATTCATTATTTGATAGATTATATAGTGAATATTAGACTAGATAATCATATATTGAAGATAAGAAATAAGAAGATATAAACAAATTAAATTTTAATCCAGAATTAAATCCTAAATCAATGGAAATGGCAGTAGATAGAACATTATAAGATTTGATAAAAAATGAATATGGAGAATATAGAAAATAGTTATTAAAAGAAGTTAATTAATTGAATTATTTTATAGAAATATGATGACTCTGATAAAGAATGTTCATTCTATCCAAGTGTATCAACATCAATGAAATATTCATAAATGCATTCCTAATATAGTTTTGATGATTGTCATGAAAAGATTAAATAATATTAAACTGATAGAGAATAAAGAAGATCTTAATTAAAAAAGTAATAATTTTACTATACTAAGGTAGTAAGAAGATGAATAATTGAAATAGTGTACATTTAAACCATAGATAAATAAAAAAATAATAGATAATAACAAATAAATTGAAGTATATGGTTTAGAATCTTTTATGCATAAAGTTGATATGACTAATAAGAAAAAAGATCAATAATAATTGGTTGAATAAAAACTTTTTAAAAAACATGAAAATTATGATTACAATAAACATCAAGATAAAACAAATTGTCAACCATTTAAATTATCTAGTAATTAAGCTATTAAAAACTCATATAAAAAATGAATGACTAAATTTTTATAAATTTATTATAATTTTCATAGACTCAAACAAGTTAAAAATTCCATATTTTCTATATATATTATATTTAATTTCCCAGCTCCAAAAAATGTTAACACTGATTAAAGTGATAATAAAAATGGTTCAAATGTTATTTTACTTGAACCTACTATAATTGTTGTTAAATCTTCTAATTAAGCATTTAAAGCAGCTAATTAACCCAAATTTATAGCAAACATAAACCATAAACTTTTTACAACATCAAGTACATTTATTTCTGAGGGTTCCTTAGTTTGTAACTTACCCATTGATGCAGCTATTATGTCTTTTGATAAACCCAATGATGTATAACTCTTACCATAAATATCTTCTACTGTCATATCTGCATTCAAATTATTACCTTCTTTGAATGCTAACATTAATTATTCATTTATATCTCCATCTAAACCAATTAATTAAAATATTTTCTCAATCGTAGTATCTGTAATTAGAGAACCATTCAGCTTAACAAATTAATTTAATGCTTGCACTTTATAAAAAGATACACTTTTATTCACATTTAAATAAAGGTATGGATAGTTTGGGCAAGGACATAAAACTTTTTCAATCTCATAACCTTATTTTAATAAATGAA